TTGACAACACGCAATGTCTAAATAATTTAACTGTTAATTATAGCGTCAGCAATTCGTGCTTAAATTTAACGAAGCTAGTTTTATAGACTGACCGTCGTCATCCTCGCCATGTGAATCAAAAACGACTCTTGCTTAACTAGCTTTCCCATACGCAATAACATGTACAACGTGTAACATGAAACATTGATACCTGTTTTACAACCGAGGTCATGTGACCTTGGAGAAAGTAACAGTAGAGTTTGCTCGTTGGCCACACTTCATTGTGACTCATAATTAGCAGCCTCGTACCCAGGCGCAAATAACGTACTAAAAATAGCAACACTACAGTGTTTTCATATAGATGGCTAAAGTGGCTAAAACGAGCGAACGCGCGGAGGTGCTTGGGACCAGCGCGCGCTCGCTCATCTTAGCCACTGATCTATATCAAACTCTGTAATGTTGCTATTTTTAGTACGTTATTTGCGTCTGGGTACGAGGCTGCATAATTAGAGAAAATAGACAAGCCATTTTACACCTCTTTCATATCCCGAAAATGACGTCAGGTCAGTTTGTTGGATGGAAAATAGTACTAACAATTGTGTATGTGTTACCCACCTTCCTATTAATGGCAACTTATCAGTAACAAACGCGCCCTTTCTTCAGGGACTTCGGAGCGGCTCTAAAAGTGGGGGGCACACTTAGCGCTTGCCGAAGGCGGGTGTCATTCTAGGGGGGTCGGGGGTACATGCCCTCCTGAAAATGTTTGAAACTACAGTTTCTGGAATGCCATTTCCTACACTTCATAAATAGTATTTAAAACACGAGAAGGAGTGTTTTATCATATTTAAAACGCGAGGCGCAGCCGAGCGTTTTAGATATGATAAAACGCGGGTTAGAGTGTTTTGAATAGCTTAAAATACGAATACAAAAGAATACTAATTAGGATGAACAATTATATAATCATACTAATTGGGTGAACAATTATATAAAAATACAAATGAGGATGAGTTTTATCAGATATAAAGTCACTCCACGTGACATATATGCCCCCCCCCCCTCCCCCTCCGACACCCCTGTCTCCCTTAATAGACGATTATTAGTGTACGTAAATCTATAAACGCACATGTCATGTCCCTAAATAAATTTTAAAAAAACACAAACCGGCTTATTATTAAGACCCGAAGCAGCCAATGTTTCCCCATTTGTAGAATTCGTTGTTTCTGTATTTTGTGAGGTCATATCGTCGCATGTTGGACTAAATTCCAATCTCTTAGATGACGAATGTGGTTGCAAATTATTCACGTAAGTACGACCTTTTTTTCAGGTTCTCCAGCAAGAGGGGACTTGGAACATCTCTTTTCGAAACTGCTCGACTTTATCATTTCTTGTGTGTTTAATGCCAATTTAAAGTTATCAAACTTTTTGAGTAAGTCCTGGCATTTACGACAGACATTGCATGGAAAACCGTCACCATCGACAATGACAATATTTAAAGTTCTTTTTATACTTTCTGCAATTTCCTTTCCTTGCCCAACTTTAAATATAGATGTCGATCTATTAGACTCTTTGTCATCACCGCAAAATCTACATATATTTGTTTCTGTCCTACAATATTGCTTTTTTGGAGTGACTGCTTCGTTTTAGGCCATGGCTCATGCGACATGTGGCATTGCAATTTGAGCATTATTTTGAAAAACACGGATTTTCTGACATTTTCTCAATGTTTGTTAGGGCGTGTCTGTGTTGCATACTATTTTCCCAAGGGAAAAATCGAAATGTACAGTTTAAAAATAAATATATTTGTGCCTACCTTTTTAATTTCTGTATCTGTAATTGTAGCCATGATGATAAGCATCACTACGAGTCTACGTGATTAGTGTGCGAAAGAAAATGAGGTCATTAAATTCATTTTTTCATGCCATTTCATTTGCATTACAGTGCTGTAGGTTTGATGATGTTTTCCTTAAAGTAAAACAATACAAAATTTTAGACGCGCTTTTATCCGGAAAGGACGTAATTGGTCTACTTCCAACTGGTTACGGTAAATCCATGATCTTTCAACTACTGCCATACATTCATGAATATTATTCTGGAAACGAATCCATGGTATTAGTCATTGCCCCATTAAACGCACTAATTGATGATCAGATAAAAAGTCTCACGAAAAAAGGAGTAAATGCTGGTGTTCTGAGAACAAAGAAAGAAAATCCAAAGAATAAATCAGAAAAGGAAGATGAAAAAAGTTGTACTGATGAATTCGAATTTGACAGCGACATGGAATACACTAAACAATTTGAAGACATTGATGACGGCGAACTATCACTTATCGAAAGTGGGAACTTCAGACTTCTTTTTCTGCCCCCAGAGGGGTTTATATCATGCAAGAAAGGCCGCAATATCCTAATGAGTGTGATATATCAGAAAAAAGTGGCATATTGTGTTATTGATGAAGCTCATCTCGTGCAAGAATGGAGAGAGGAATTTCGGACTGACTTTAGAAAACTTTCGCAACTTAGAGCAATATTCCCATCAACGCCCATGTTGGCATTGACTGCATCCGCGCCTCCAAAGTATTTTACACATTTAACGGACTATCTCTTGCTTCAGAATCCGTGCAGAGTTGTCGGAAACTTAGACAGACCAAATATCTATATTGCGATTCATAAACGTAAACCTTCTTCGATTGGTTCAGAAAGTTATGCAAGCATTCTTCGCCCAATCGCCAATGAGCTAAAGGAACAACTGACACGCTACCAACTCACAATTATATACTTGCCGCTGAAATGGTGTGGCTACGCATTCAAACTTTTCGAACAAATCCTTCAAGAAAAGGTTTATTATCCAGAAGATAACATAGATCCATCTCATCGTCTGTTCGCTCAGTTTCATGCCGCTCAAACAGAAATGATGAAAAATGAGATCATGAATCAGCTAACCGGAACCAAAAGCACAATTCGAGTATTATTTGCAACGGTTGCAATTGGACTTGGTGTCAATATACCGAACATCGGACAGATCATTCATATAGGGCCCCCTAGAACAATAGAATCCTATTACCAGGAGATTGAAAGGGCAGGGCGCGACGGAAAACCTGCTAAACCATTGCTGTACTACAATGGCTCAGACATTTCCGCTAATAAGCCCGGGATGACATGGGAGATGCGTGCATTTTGTTTAACTGTTACGACGTGTCTGCGTAATTATATGTTGGAATACTTGGGATCCTGTAAGGCACAAAATTACACCCCTCACTTGTGTTGTAGTAATTGTTCTAGTGGATGTACGTGCAAACATTGTAGCATAAATGATGAAATAAAACCGCAGTCATCTCCAGAGGCAAAATCGTCACCTGAAATCCCCCAACCAATACCTGTAAGAGAAGTGTCAGCAGAACAGCGCAAAATAATTTTAAATTCATTGAAGAAATATAGGCTTGAGATTGGTGCTAAAAATCTCAGATTTGGAGGTATCGACCTCAACACAGGATTCACAATCGCATTGATTGACCAGATATCCGCTAAATGTGAATTTATATATTCTGCTGAACAGATGCTTTAAACCTTCCCAATATGGGATAAACATCATGCTGTTGCATGCATGGAAATAATAATAAATGTGTGTGGACACTAGCAAAGGTTGCTAGCTTAAAGTTGCTGAACAATTTGTATATTAATCTCACATTGTATTGTGTAATAACATAATAACATTCAATTGATTTATGATAAAATATTGCTCAGATAGTTATATATAAGACAATCAGGGCCGTGCCACCTAGGGGTGTGTGGGGGTGTATCACCCCCCCCCCCAAAGAAAAGGGGGCCCAGCTTGCGGAGAGGGGACCCTGGAAAGCGGAACGTGTTAAATATTAAGGAATTTTCTGGAAAATCGGTCTAAAAAGGTCTTCAAAACTAAATTTAAGTCCCTATTATGTAAACCTAGTATTTGAAAAAAATTTTGGGACCTCCCCCTTTCACAGTATTTTCCGGCAAAATTCTTTGATTTC